TGCATGGAACTTAAGGAGAGGCTCAGACTTGGCGGAGAGATGTGGGATGAGCTCGCCATAGGAGCTGCCAATGTGCATCTTCCCAAATGGGTTTGGGGAGGGTACCCTGTGCAGGTGGTCCCAGGTCAGAGCAGGGAAGGACCTACTTATCTCACAGTCTGCCAGCTGAGCCCCAGAAAACAGGCTGGAGTGGGCAGGAGGAGATGAGCTGCTGCTGGAGCATGGAGACACACTCGGCATTGCCACTGGGAGGAAGCTGTTCTGATTAATGCTGCTGCCAAGATATCCTCGGGCAGAAGGTGACATGTGAGCAGTGTTGTCTCCATTTCTGCCCAGCAGCACGTGCAATGGCTCTGGGACTCAATGCAGGAAAACAAGGGGTTGGCAAGAGGTTTCTGGGGATGGGTCTTCACTTACAGTGGGACAGGAGCACATGATGTACACGTGCACTTGATCCAGCCTTGCAAACCTGTAATGCATCACCTGAGGTACCAAACAGCACTGGGCTTCACTGGCGGTAGCACAGAACAGTCAGTGCCTCATGGCAACAGGCGAGGTGGAAAATAGGCTTCCTTTGCAGGTAAATGTCCCAGGTGCCTGAATCCTCTGTGGCTCTGAACAAAGGGACAACTCAACTTAGGACTGCATCCCAAGGGATGGGGTGCATGACCTGCAGTGTGGTGCTGTACCAGCTGTGCAGGTCCCCGTCCTTCTGCCAGGAGACCACGCTGGGTTTGCTCTCCCACTCCACGGGTCTTTTGCTGCACAACAAGGGAGAGGTTATTGTCTCAGAAGAGGCAGGAGCAATGCAGAAAACTTTTGCATCTGAGGCACAACCTGGTACAATGTGCAAAGCCCACAGTATGCTCGTGAAGGTGTCAAGCCCACCCAAGCCATGGTGCTTCCCACATCAGCCCACATGCTGCTCCCTCCCTCTTCATCCACAGCAGCCCCACCTGGCTTATGGCATCAGGTTAACCAAGGAATGCATAATTTTCCTGGAAAAGGTTTTTTGCCGTTGGGTAACTAGGATTGGTCCCCAGCCAGGACCTATGTCCTGGAGCACAATGAGCTGGAGCAGTTGCGCCTCCCGGAGAGAAGCCAGCATTGGTGCAAACCGAGAGTACTCACGGGGTGGGACACACTATAAGGAAATACTGGAGCGCTGGGTAAACATTGCAAGCTGGAGTTGAGAGAGAAGAAGCAGCATGGCAGAGCTCTGTGTCTGCTCCGTTCTGGTGACTGGGGCCAACCGAGGCATCGGCCTGGGCTTTGTCCAGCATTTCCTGAGGATGCCAAAACCACCACAGTGGATTTTTGCTACCTGTCGGGACCCCAAGGGACAGAGAGCGCGGGTGAGGCTGGGCTGGGAGGCAGTGACTGTGCTGGGGAATGGGAGGACTCAGTGTCAAGGGGAAATTGGAACAGGGATGGTGTTTGCAAGAGGCTGGAGCTTCAGCTGGGCACCCGTGGCCCAGGGCAGCTGGGCTGGTACACTCTGGAGGCAGTTGTGCATGGGATGTATGGAGGGGACAGGAGTACGTGGTGTGTGCAGGAGCTGTGGACTGCTCCCCCTGCATCAGGATCAGGGCAGCTGGAGCAGGGTGCTGGGCTCATGGTGGTGCAGGGGCTGAGCTGGAGGGACACAGGCTTTGCCTGGTTTTGCTGGGTGAGCCTTGGCACAGCTGTTCCAGCCTGTTGGAACCAGTGTTGTGAACCCTCTTGCAGGAGCTACAGAATTTGGCCTCCAAGCATCCCAACCTCGTCATCATTGCTCTGGGTAGGTTCCCTCTTGCCCCAGTTCCTCTGGTGAATGCCTGGGCACTCATCACAGCCCTGGGAGCTCCACACTGGAGGCAGCTGTGGGGGGCACCTACTTGGGGGAACAGAGGGGAACCCAAACCACCACAGGGTCACTGACCTCCCCTATGTTGGCCCTGCAGAAGTTGCTGACCCTGCCAGCATCAAGGCGGCTGCAGCCAAGGTTGGGGAGCACCTGGGGGATTCTGGGCTGAACCTCCTCATCAACAATGCTGGAGTGGTCAAGCCTAAGATGCTTGATGCTGAAACATTGGAGGACATGACTGAGACTTACACCACCAACACGGCTGGACCCCTGCTGATGGGCCAGGTGAGTCCCCAGCACTACAGTACAGCTCCAGAAGGATCTCTTCCCATGTCCTCCAGCTGGACATGTATCAAGTGTGTGAAGGGCCAGTGAGAGGGGCTCCTGTCACTGCTCTGGTGCCCCGATGGGCTCCCAGTTCATGGGCTGGAGCTCAGGAGCTGTAGGCTGGCTGGGAAGACAAAGGAGGATGCCCCAGTGCTGGTGTCAATGTTGCCCACTGTGGAAGGAGCTGGCGCTGTCTGCCCTGTGCCATGTCCGTGTGTGCTCCTGTCCCTCTGTCTCCTCACAGGCATTCCTGCCCTTGCTGAAGAAAGCTGCCCAGGGGTGCCCAGGCTCAGGGCTGAGTTGCAGCAAGGCTGCCATTGTCAACATGTCCAGCATTGGCGGCTCCATCGCTTCTTTCTTTGGCTGGGACATGATGCAAGTCACCTCGTACCGCTGCAGCAAGGTACTGTCACACCTTTGCTCCCCCTGCCCAGCTGTGGGTCCCCTTGCAGCCCCCCCTTCCCCTCCCACCACCGTCCCTGCATTGTCTCCCCACAGGCTGCTCTGAACATGCTGAGCAAGTGCCAGTCCCTGGCGTACAAGGAGCACGGCATCCTCTGTGTCGCTCTCCACCCCGGCTGGGTGCAAACAGACATGGGCAGTGCTGCTGGACACACGGTAGGAATTCCACCAGGGCAGGTCCATCAGAGCTCCTGTGCTGATTTTCCATGGGTGGGAGTTGCTGTCCTGAGCCCCTGCCCCTGGCTTCCCTGCCTGCCCAATCGCTGCTGGGGCAACTCCCCCTGTTCTGGTCTTGGGTGCTGGGAGTCTCCATCCCCTCTGTTCTCATCTCAGTCCCACCCCCTCAGGTTGTCAGCTTTCCCTTTGCCCTGGAGCAGATCTTTCCCCTGGCTCTAGCTGTTCCAGGGCCCTCAGCCAGGCCTTGGGCATGGGCTGCATCTCCCCCTCTTCCCCACAGCCCCCTGTGACAGTGGATGACAGCGTGCAAGGGATGCTGAAGGTCCTCTCCTCCCTCTCTGAGAAGGAGACCGGTGCCTTCCTGGACTGGGAAGGGAAGGCCATACCCTGGTGAGACACCACTTCAGGATTCTGGTAGCCAGGAGGAACCCTGTGCCACTGCTTCTGTGTTTCCCAGATCCTCAATAAACTCCTGCCAATAACCTCCAGCTCTGTTGTGCATTGCCAGCTCATGAGATGGCCCCTTCCCAGATATCCCACTCCTCATGCTGGATGCAGTGGTGCCCACAGCTGCCCTCGACCCACGGCTGTCACTGGCATTCCCATGAGTGTCCCATGGCACTGTGACTGCCCTCTGGAGACCTCCCCTCCAGGAGGCACTGGAGAAGCTGGAGCAGAGTCCCTCTCCTGAGAGGAGAGAGATCTTCTGAGCCCCTGCAGGACTGACTTTCACCTGTCCCAGCTGGGCTGCCTGAGGGGCTGGGGGTCACAGGGACCAGCTGCCTCCGCCCCTCAGCTGGGGATGCCTGGTCACAGGTGGGACAGAGGGACACACAGCGCTCCGGCAGAGCACAGGGATCCTGCCCCAGGCTTGGAAGGGGGGTTTGAGACTGGGTGTGGAGACAGAGCAGAGAGGCATCAGCTGCCAGAGTTTACAGAGGTGGGGGTACAGAGGGACCACAGGGGTACATGTGGGGTGGGAAAGGGGAGAGACGTTGCTTCCCAAGCCCTTCTCTTCTTGAAGCTCCACAGCCAAGCACCTCGTCACCATGTTCTGGGCAGCCTGGAAGAGGCACAGCCCTGCCAGCACAACCCAGGGAGTGGGTGGGCAGGAGAGGAGACATTTCCCAGGAAGAAAATGTCTGTGGAGATGGGAAATGGGACTTGGTCCTGGGACAAAGCATCAGCATGACCTACTGGAAAGGCTCAGTCCTTGCTTCTGCTGTCCCGGTCTCTGTGCTTCCACCTGGGAGAACCAGGCAGGGGGTGGTGGCTGGGGCAGGGGGTGACCCATGGGCTCCCTCCCCTCCATGGGCACTGTGCCTGGGACAGCATCTCCAGCACCTCCCCTGGCGCCTCACCTTGCTGGCCCGGTACGGGTACATGGGGGCCTCTGGCACCCTGAGGCACAGCCCAATGGAGCCCAGTTTGCTGGAGATGTTGATGACAGCGGCCCGGCTGCAGCTCAGACCCTCCTTCCCTGCACCCTTCGCCGCTTGCTCCAGGAGTGGCAGAAATTCCTGATGCAAAACACAGATGCTGCATTAGTTGTGGCAAGCATGCAGTTTGTGTCCTGCTGGAGGGCAAGGCCAGCAGCTGGTGATGTGTTGGCCATGCAGGTGCCCATCCTGCCAGGAGACTGGATCCACTGGGTTTGCTTCCTTCCATGGGAGCTTTGTTTCACCTGTCAATCGGGGAATGGGCATTGGCTGGGAGGAGGCAAGATCAAGGCAGGGAGTGTCTGCTCGTGGCCGTGTGAAGAATGTCCTGGCTTAGAGGACCAGGACAGGGGGATGAGATCAGCCTGTTCCCAATGTTGTGTGGGTCTGATGGAGAAAACATTTCTTGTGAAGGTGTCAAGCCCTTGTGAGCCATGGAGCTTCCCACCTCCCTTGCACATGTTGCTCCTTCCCTCCTCTCCCATATCTTCTCCTGGCTGATGGCATCAGGTTTCCCAAGGACAGTAGAATTTGCCTGAAACCACCAAGGGTTTTTGCCCTTTGGAAACAAGGACTGGCTCTCAGCCGGGATCTATGTCCTGGAGTTTAAAGGGCTGGAGCAGTTGCTTCTCCTGGATCCAAGGGTTGGTGTAAACCCTGAGTGGGAGGGGTGTCTGTGGGAAATGCTATAAGGAAATACTAGGGAGCAAAGCAAACAGTGAGAGCTGGAGCAGAGGAGGACAAGCAGCATGGCAGAGCTCTGTGTCCGCTCCATTCTGGTGACTGGGGCCAACCGAGGCATCGGCCTGGGCTTTGTCCAGCATTTCCTGAGGATGCCAAAACCACCACAGTGGATTTTTGCCACCTGTCGGGACCCCAAGGGACAGCGAGCACAGGTGAGGCTGGGCAGGGAGGCAGTGACTGTGCTGGGGAATGGGAGGACTCAGTGTCAGGGGGAAATTGGAACAGGGAGGGCACTTGCAAGTGTCTGAAGATGCAGTCAGGCACCTGGGACACAGGGCAGCTGGGTTGAGACAACCAGCCGTGGGAGCAGCTGTGCATGGGATGTGTGGAGAGAACAGTGGTACTTGGTCATGGAGTCCTCCCCATCCATTCGGTTCAGGCAGCTGGAGCATAGTGTGAGGTCCATGGTAGTGCAAGGATGGAGCCAGAGCAACGCAGAAACCTGGGAACAGCTGAGCCTCTGCACAGCCCCTCCAGCCTCTCCATGCCTACACAGTGCCCTCTCTTACAGGAGTTACAGAATTTGGCCTCCAAGCACCCCAACATCATCATCATCCCGCTCGGTAGGTGCCCCGAGGTGGGGATCCTTTGCCCCAGTTCCTCTGGCGAGTGCCCAGGCTGGGCACACCCTGGGAGCCCCGTGCTGGGAGGGAGCTGTGCCAAGGGGCTGGTGCCTGCAGGGCCATTGGGCACTGCCACTTCTGGGGGAACAGAGGGGACTCCCCCATGGGGACACAGGCTCTGACCTCCCCTGTGTTGGCTCTGCAGAAGTCACCGACCCTGCCAGCATCAAGGCGGCTGCAGCCAAGGTTGGGGAGCACCTGGGGGATTCTGGGCTGAACCTCCTCATCAACAATGCTGGAATGGCCAAGCCAAACTCCCTTGCTAATGAGACGCTGGAGAGTATGACCCAGGTTTACACCACTAACACAATTGGGCCCCTGCTGATGGGCCAGGTGAGTCCCCAGCACTACAGTACAGCTCCAGAAGGATCTCTTCCCATGTCCTCAAACTGGGCTTTACAGAGAGAGTGAAGGGCCAGTGGGAGGAGCTGCTGTCACTGCTCTGGTGCTCCGATGGGCTCTCGGTTGATGAGAAGCTCATGGAGCATTGGGCTGGAGTTCAGGAGCTGGAGCCAGACAGGCTGGGGTAATGGGAAGAGGAAGGAGGATGTCCCAGTGCTGGTGTCAATGTTGCCCACTGTGGAAGGAGCTGGTGCTGTCTGCCCTGTGCCATGTCCGTGTGTGCTCCTGTCCCTCTGTCTCCTCACAGGCATTCCTGCCCTTGCTGAAGAAAGCTGCCCAGGGGTGCCCAGGCTCAGGGCTGAGCTGCAGCAAGGCTGCCATCATCAACATGTCCAGCTATGCAGGCTCCATTGAGGATATGTATGTATGGGATTTTGGACAAGTTGTCTCGTACCGCTGCAGCAAGGTACTGCCAGATGTTGCTGGGGGTGAGCCCAGACATTTTCCCCTCCAAATGTTCACACTGCCTTCCAACCTCCCCCTCAGTCTGTGCCCCTCTCTACACTGTGACTGAGCTCCTGTCAGTCCCTAGGTATCCATCATAGCACAGTTACATGCCTGACCCTGGGTCCTACCTCAGAGGGACGTTGATACAATAGGACTTCAACTAGGCTGGGCATTGGGATAGTGAGGGATAGTGAGGGAGCATCATGTAGTGGCCTCCTCTGCCCTGTCCCTGCCCCAGCTGTGGGGTCTGCACATGTCCCCTTGCAGCCCCCCCTTCCCCTCCCACCACCGTCCCTGCATTGTCTCCCCACAGGCTGCTCTGAACATGCTGAGCAAGTGCCAGTCCCTGGCGTACAAGGAGCACGGCATCCTCTGTGTCGCTCTCCACCCCGGCTGGGTGCAAACAGACATGGGGGGTGCAGGATCATTTAAGGTAAGAGATCTCCTGTCCATGGTCTGGGAGAACCTCATGGTTTAGGAATGCAGAATTTGCTGTGGTCTCATGCTGGGCTGTGTGAGAGCTCCTGGGCAGATACCCTGGAGGCACAGGAGGGAGGGAGATGAGCAACTGGGAATGCTCCTTGCCCAGAGCAATGATTTGTTTCAGGGCAGACCCTTGAGCACAGAACTGTTTCTCCCTCTTCCCCACAGCCTCCCCTGACAGTGGATGACAGTGTGCAAGGGATGCTGAAGGTGCTGTCCTCCATCTCTGAGAAGGAAACTGGGACCTTCCTGGACTGGGAAGGGAAGGTCATACCCTGGTGAAATGCTGATTCAGGATTCTGACTGTGAGGACCACTGCTGCTGCACCATGTTGTGCCTGTCCCTTAGTAAATGATTGTCCACAAACAATAAATAGCACTGTGTGAGCCTCCTTCCCTTGATCTTCTATTAACTATCACTGAGAGAGTCCTCACTGGTGCTTTGAGAGATCTTCTCAGTTGTTTCCGCGTATCATTGAGCTAGGTTGGTGTGAACATTTGTTCTTTTCCAACTGGGGACCCGGACACCATTCTGATAAGAACTTGTCCCCAGGCTCATCCCAGAGCTCTCCCTCTGAATGGCAGCATCACCTTACAATGACTCAGGCACTCCTTCCAGTCCTTCCTTGTTTGTCAGTTCCAAGTCTAAGCAGAGCCCTGCTCATCATTAGCTCCTCTACTACAAAGGTCAGGAAGACAAAACCTGACGTGATCTTCCTGGCTTGCTTATGTCCTGCTGTGTTCCTCCAGCAGAGATCAAGGTAGACAAAAACACCCATGAAGACCAGGGCCTCAAATGGGAAATCTGTAAGTGCAGCCTTGAATCCTCTCAGGGACAGGAACCTATTCTGTGTTGCTGTTAAATCTTGTCTGTACCTCTCTTCTTGGTCTCTGGGCTCCCTGTTCCGAACTGGTGTGTGGAGGCAGGATGGGCTCTTGGTGCATATTTCCACAAGGCACATATGGCACTGGAGGCTCCACGATGAGCAAAGATGTCCACAGGTCCTCTGGGACTCACCGTGGGGCTGATGGAGTGGGGTGTGGGACCAAATGGGCACGAGGCCTCGGGGTCCATGGGGACATCAGGGATCCCCCACTGTACATCCTGTGGATGGGGAGGAGGCAACAGTGGGATGGTAGCCAGGGGACTGTGGGCTGCCTTGGATGAGGAGCAGGGAGCTCTCACCCCCACTGAGTCCTTTCTTCACCACCAGCACTGAGACCAACCTGCACCAGAACCAGGAACAGCAAATGCAGCTCTGGAGTCAGCAAAGTACAATTCTAAAGACATGAAATTGGGGAGGAAATGAGGAGAAGGATCATGATCAGGCAGGGAGGTGGCAGTGGGACCCTGGGAATGATGGGTGACGGGGGCCAGGGATATTCTGGATTATCCAGACCTGCCTGACTGCATCCTTCCCACAGCACCACTCATGTCCCCATGGGGATCATTGTGCCATTTGTTGTATTTTTAACTGAATTCCCTCAAATTTGTTGTATCACGCACGATGCTAAAAAGTAAATTAATTCCTCACCTCTTGTATCACTTAGATTTAGCTGAAATTATTATAACCCTGACTTTGTTGTATTATAGGGTGATGGCCCCACTGCAGAAGTCCCCTCAACAGCGCTGTCCTTTGCAGCAGCTCCATTTCCTGGGTGCCATCCCAGCACTGCCGGTGCTTTGCACAATTTAGAGCCTCAGTCCAGATTGCCGAGGCTCCGAGCAGCAGCACCCAAGTCCATTTGTAGCCTCCTTAATTAATCAGGATTTGTTGGCGGGGCTGTGCTGGGTGTCGGTGCCAGGGGAGGGGACAGAGCTCCCTTCCCGTGGTCCCGGCGTGTGGCAGGACCCAGCAGGTGGCAGGGTCTCCTCTGCTGTGATCGTATAGTGGTCAGTACTCTGCGTTGTGGCCGCAGCAACCTCGGTTCGAATCCGAGTCACAGCAACTTTTGTCAAGAGCCGGGAGGGAGGCAGCTGTGAGGGGGTTGCTTTGAAAAGATGTCATGCCCTGGGAGGGGGCCACAAGCTTGGATGGTCCAAGAGTGACCAGACTTGTACCAACAATGATTTCCCGAGCTGTAGTCACTGTGCAGGGTCTCTCCAGCGAGGCTGCAGTGACACTTTGGGGAAAGCACTCCAGCTTCTTCATTTCCAGGCAAACTTGAGAATTTAGAGGAATTTGCCCAGCCTTCCACGTTCCACTTCCTCACAGTTTTGCAGAAAGAGGAGCAGAAGATGCTGTGACAGCCCTGCAGAGTGAGAGGAGGTGGGAGGCAGCAGCTTGCTCATCTTCTGGCCCCCAGGGCATGAAGGATCTGCCACAGCAGAAGAAGGAAGATAAGCAGGTGAAAGTCCCGCTGCTGGCACTCCCTGCCCCAGGGGAGCAGGATTTTGGTTGCAGGACCTCCAGGGATGCTTTCAGAGCAAATGCAGAACCCACCCAGAGCTGAGGGGTGACCCTGACAAACTGTAGGTGTGGGAACTCGAGGTCTCACGGGCACCAAGAAGCAGGTGATCTCTGGGGGCACCAGGAGATGCTTCAGCCTGGGGAAGCCTCTTAAACTGTTGCCTTTACCCTTCTGGAGCCTTAATGGAGTCACCCTGTTTGCTTGGACTTGGTGCCCTCTCCTGACAGCCGCGCAGAACTCGCTCTGCTCAGCAGCTCGCCCAAGAGAAGTTACATAAGGTGTGGCACAGGCTGGTGGTGGAGAAGGCACCACCCAAGCAGGGTCTCAGCTCACTGCTGTGGGGACATCTGAAAGCAGCAGAGGGCTGCAGCACTCAGGCAGATGGGCTCAGGCGTCTGCAGGGCTGGTGCTTGGGAAAAGGAGGGAGTGGATTTTTTTTTTCCTAGCACAAAATAGATTTATTTCCATTTGTATCTTATCCAGAGCAAGAAATTAAGAAAAAAAAAATCATTGCACATTTACTTGTAGGATTTGCAGTTTATAGGGCGCTTACTTGCATGACTTCACACTCCTCCAATATTCATTTACTGAAAACACATATCTCTTTACTTAGAGAAAGCTCAAAAAGCATTTTTCCTTTCTAAAGGTAATAGAGGAGGAAGAGAAGGCAAACATCTAGAGAAGCTGCCCATTAGCAGCAGCACTTTTACCCAGCTGAGCATAAAAAACACAAGGAAATACATAACTTCTCATTCTTCTTTTCTTTTTCTTTTTTTTTTATTTTTTTTTTTTCCACAGAAAATCAGTGTGATGTGTAAGGCCACTAAACTTACCTGAAAAATAATTTACTATTCTTGATCAACTGATGTTGTATGTTCAGGTTGAAAAACATAATTTTTTTTTTTTTACATAGGACAGGGGATATTTTTCATCCAAAATGGATTGATTTTCTGTTAAAAGATTTTCTATTTTGCAAAAATATCCTGAACTATCTATACATCTACAGGGCAGCCCAGGTGAGGCAGTGTGGTGGCCCCACGAGCAGCCTCTGCTCTCACATGAACTGTGTTCCCTTCAAGTGATGCAGGGCTCTGCTGGAAACTTCTACTCATCACCCTTCCAGTGAAAAAGGGTCTCCTGATGTTCAGCTGGAGCCTCCCGTGTTCCAGGGTGTGTCCACGGCCTCTGGCACCACTGAACAGAGCCTGGCTTCCCTCCCGGGAGGGATGCTCCAGTCCCTTCAGTATCTTCATGGAGGTTGTCACGCAGAAAAAAAACAGTTGCCAGCAGGAACCCAAACTTTAAGAACGCTGCCTGAAGGCAGCTGGGGGCACCCGAGCACCCTTCACTGCGAGAGGGGAGACCACAACCCCATAAATCCCCTACACTTCTTCCCTGCATGGGACCGTCCTGCCCGGAGGTGCCGCTCCTGCTCCTGGGCTCCTAAAGGATAAAGCCACCGCCTGAACAGGGGCTTGAACCCTGGACCCTCAGATTAAAAGTCTGATGCTCTCCCAACTGAGCTATCCAGGCTCACATTTGGGCTCGGGGGACTCTATGACAGGCAGGGGGGACCCCGCTTTCCTGCGGCATTGCAGGGACAACGTGGGGACCCCACTTTGATATTTCCCACTCCCACGCCACCCCAACGAGGCTGCCAGCGCAGGCCAGGCTGAACACCCAGCTTCTGGGCATCTCCCTGGGCACTGATCAGGCACGGCGATGCGCCCTGGGAAGAAGCCGCTGCCGCAGGGATGCGCAGGCGGGGAGGGGAGCAGGATGCTGCGGGAGCGGCTGTAAAACCTCCGCCGCCCCCAGAGGGAGGCAGGACGGTCCTGCCGGGGCACAGGAGCAGCAGCGGTGGCTGTGGCCGCGCAGGGGTCCGAGCTCTGCTCTGCAGAATCCGAGTCCCAGAGGCGCTTTTGCAGGAGCCGCGTTAAGGAGGGAGGCGGCTGTGGGGAGCTGGGTTACAGACACAGAGCCCGCCGTGGGCACCTTAAGGTCACCCCACACATTCTCTTGCCCTTCCTCCCCACTCTTCAGGAAAGGACCCTCTTCCCCACGGGGAACCCATCCTGTCAGGCAGCCCACCCACCGGTGCCCCACATCCCTGTCCCACCTCACATTTCCCTGGGAGGAAGAAGATATCTTCCCTTCAGCAGAAAAATATGATTTTGCCCCATTCCTTGAAGTGTTCAAGGCCACGTTGGACGGGGCTTGGATCATTCTGTTCTAGTGGGAGTTGTCCCTGCCTATGGCATGGGTTTGAAATGAGAGGAACTTTAAAGTCCCTTCCAGCCTGAGCATCCCTTGTCCCTGAGGGTCCCCAATACCCAGTGCAGGCTGAAGCTGCAGGGGCTTCCCCCAGCTGGGACTGTCACAGAGGGGCCCTTCCAGTGGATGCTGGGATGGTGCATGAGGCAGGGGCAGTGCCCAGGATGGCACTGGGGAATGTGGCACTGCCATACAGCACAAGGAGCAGCCCAGACGTGCCTTTCCCTATCCCAACTCCTCCATCTTTTCCCAGATACCTGGGGTTCACCTGGCCACCCTGGCAGCGCCAGCATCTCCTGCCAGGGGCAGGAGGAGTGGAGAGGAGCTGTATTCAGTGAGGCAGGGAGTGAGCAGGCCTGGGACATTACCCCTAGAGAGCCATGCAAGAACATGGCAGCCACCTCCCCAGGACATGGCAAAGGGACACCGAGGCACCGGGAAGCTGCTCAAATGTGCAGCACCCCCGAGCAGGGCTCTGGGGGCACCAAGAACCCCATAGCACTGCCAGACTGGTTTTGACAGGCCATGGCTTGTCCATAAGGCCAGTCCTTCGTCCCTCCCCGTCCCTCCTCCTCCTCATGGCCAGCCCCTTGCAGC